ATTATATCTCTGGGGAATTTTGTTAAATATCAGACTCTTAAATTCAAAATATAGCTTAATCTGATGATATAATAAGCTAAAGCTTCACATGCTGGCCAGATGCCTAAGAAATTACTTCTGTTGTTAGGAATTAACTTATACATACATATGTGAATATTGCTATTGTAATGGAAACCTGATCCCTTGCATTATATTTCACTAATACCTTTTTATTTTTACACATACTATCGGCTTATACTACTAAAGGAATGTAATGACAGCACATTGTAATACACAGATACTTCAAAAAGTTTGTGGAAATGGAATTAAAGTATGAGTTTATTCGGTGCAAAATAAAATCTTAAAATCCATGAACAATGGGACCAGCAGATGGCATAACGGTTACATCGCTGGACTCCCACATGGTCAACCACAGTTTAAGTCCTGGACCCAGTGGTTTAAAACTCATGCAATATGTGTGTACACATGTGTCTAAATCCCCAAGAGGAGAATGGAGGAGAAAAGATTGCTACATGGACATCCCCCCCAGGAGATGTTTTCTTGCTTTCCATCTCTCCAGTGAGCACACACACTTTAGCAAAAATTTCTCAGGGAAAAAAAAAAAATCCATGAACAGGTTTTTCATAAGCACCTTTTCAGGAACCAGCAGTTAGCGTAATGGCTATGTCGCTGGACTCCCACGTAGTCGACCGCGGTTCGCGTCCCGGACCCGGTGGCTTAAAACTCATGCTTAAAACGCACGTGAGTGCGTGCCCAAGATCCCGAGAGGAGAATGGAGTAGAAGGTATTGTGGCATGACCATCCCCCCTGGGGGGTGATTTCTCGCTTTCTGTCTCTATGTCTCTCTGTCTGTCTGGCGAGCACATGCGCCCTATAGCGAAAACCTCTCCAAAAAAAGAGTTCATAAGCACCCTTTCTGTGAATTTCTTGAATACTTCTCAAGTGAGTTGATGAATAAAGTAAAAAACTAAAGACAAAAAAATTATAACCTTCCAACACAGTTTTATGCCAAGGTATCATGGATGAGAAACACCATCCTACTTGAATCAGAGTATATCAAGTCCCATCACAGTATGTTTTCTCTCAAGCTATTCATGGCCATGTTGGCCTATACCACGCAGCCTCCTCTGCTACACTGCCTTCTCACTCAGTAACTCAATACATCAATCCTTCCACCCCCAAGATGAAATCTAGGTCTCAACTCAGACATAAGCAATAAAGGATAATGCTTTCATCAGCTCACACTGTCTTTCTAATCTATGAAGGAGGCTCTCTCTCTCCCCCATTTTCATAACACAACACAAAATTTTTAAAAAAGTATCATCCTCGGGAACCAGCGGTTAGCGTAATGGCTATGGCGCTGGACTCCCATGTAGTCGACCGCGGTTCGTGTCCCGGACCCGGTGGCTTGAAACTCACGCCGGGCGCGTGTGCGTGCGTGCCCGGGATCCCGAGAGGAGAATGGAGGAGAAGGGATTGCGGCGTGGCCATCCCCCCTGGGGGGTGCTTTCTCGCTTTCTGTCTCTATGTCTCTCTCTGTCTGTCTGGCGAGCGCACGCGCCCTACAGTGAAAATTTCTCCAAAAAAAAAAAAAAAAAGTATCATCCTCGGGAACCAGCGGTTAGCGTAATGGCTATGGCGCTGGACTCCCATGTAGTCGACCGCGGTTCGTGTCCCGGACCCGGTGGCTTGAAACTCACGCCGGGCGCGTGTGCGTGCGTGCCCGGGATCCCGAGAGGAGAATGGAGGAGAAGGGATTGCGGCGTGGCCATCCCCCCTGGGGGGTGCTTTCTCGCTTTCTGTCTCTATGTCTCTCTCTGTCTGTCTGGCGAGCGCACGCGCCCTACAGTGAAAATTTCTCCAAAAAAAAAAAAAAAAAGTATCATCCTCACAGCAGAAATTACACTTCTTCACTTGGTTTGGAATCTACTACCCTACCTAGTAAGGTAAGTAGAAATAAAATATGTGGGCTCGTAACTGACATAAAAAACATGAAGTTCACATCTAAACACTGCCTTGTTTATTGCATTAATTTAACTCTTATAGCTTTATCACGGTACTGTTTTCTCTTCTGAGCAGAGGATGTTACCTATTCATTTGACTTTTCGTGAGTATTCAATATTGTTGCTTTTGCTTTTTGCTTGTAAACTTAGGAAAGATAAGGTTTATCATTCCTTCATTTAATTAGCTTTGTTCAGTGTAAAACAAAAATAGTATCCAATTTTTATATGATGGCTAGAACAATGACTAAGTTTACCAAGATAAACACAAACAGTAATTGGGATATTCATAATCCATGCTTGATAAAAGGAAGATAATTAGCTATGTCACAAATATATATAAATATCATAAGAAAAGTAATATTTGAAACCCAGGAAACATGTAACAAAACCATTTTGCAGAGGTAAATACTTTTTAGTGGTTATCATTTTCATGTTCTTACCTGATAGGTGGCTGGCCACCAAAAGACTACTTCAATAATCAGGATCGATATGTTATTCTGTAGGCTAGCATTGATTTTAACCATAAAGTTGTTCATACTCAAATGAATCAGGAGTCGGTCAACTTTATCATAAGGAAAATATGTCATCCTATAGCTACATATTTGGAATACCTAATTTCTGCTTACTTTACCCTTTGTAATTACCATATGATATTTTGATTTTAAATGAAAAAAATACATATCTGCTTCTCCAAAAAGATTACAAAATAAGTACTTTGTTTTAGGGTTCATGTTTATTTTCCATTTACTTTTATTGATCTTACAGGCAGAATAGTATCGTGATCTCTCTATTACATTCAACAACACCAAAAATCTACAACTCTGGTGTCAATAACAATAATTACTGAAAATTGAGCAAGCAATTTACAACTATCTGCAATTAAGGAAAATAGGTTCAAAAGGCATATAATTGCAGTAACAGTAAAATAGCATTTATGTGTGTTAAGACGTGAAAAGCCAACATAACTTTAGTACCTCAGGCATTTTTCTAATTGTGATATTTACATAAATCTTGGAAATCGAAGAGCACATTGGCCAGTCACCAATGATCATAAAAAGAAAATACATAAAAGTGCCCATAATCGCTAATAGTATGCGTTCAACTCTTTAGTAACATGGTGTGGTACTATTATCCTTTCCAAAGCATTAAAATCAATATTACATTTGCCTCAGCTTTTTTACAAATGAACAATCAGATGAAGATGCCCTCATTTCGGAAACTAAGGTCATTAATGTTTATCTTCACTTGAAACATTTCAGAAGGCTTGTGAACCTAAACAATTTTAGACTACTGGGTGAACAGTGACATCTAGTGGTTATTATATCCCTAAACAAACATCTTTGAGTATCCATAAGCTAAGTGAAGCCAGAACGAACATTACCTTCAACATTGACACAAGCGCATTTCTAACGAACCTGCATAAGAAAATTATAAACACTTCTAATATAATCCCTCTAATTCAGTAATGGTTTGAAAGAAAAGCTAACACTAGGCTCCTATTCATTCTTAATCAACAGCCCTTTTCCAGGAAAATAATGTTGGTGGAATTTTCATGAAAATCCAATTTTGACTTTTTCATGTCTCAGTTTTTGTTTATAACAGAGCAATATAAAGAATTCTGAAACACTATGAACTCTTGAAAAATCAAATCTATGGCTGTTATGATGGATCGGAATGGCCCAGCAAACTCCACATGATATGCGAAAGTAAGACATAAAATCTGCCAGCCTATTATTTTATTGTTGGATTGGGTTTACTCTGGACATGTCATTAAGTTTTTGTAAACAGGGGACATCTTTTTCATCAGGATGTTTTAATATAACTGAGTCATGAAATGGAATTATAGAACAGAAAAGGAATTATAGAATTGTTTTACCATCAAAAAGTCATTGGTTCCTAGGTTTGTTTCCTTTTCAATACAAAGTCAGTACCCAGTAAATATCCTTTATCCAAAATACTTGGGGCCATAAGTGTTTTGTATTGGGGATATTTCTGAATTTTAGATTTGGGATATCTTTGAATTTGGGGGTATTTGTATATGCACATGTACATAACATGAAAATACCCCAAAACCCCTGGGGATAGGAATCCATGTCTAAAAACAAAATGCATCTGTGTTTCATATATACCTCATGCACATAACCTGAAGGTACTTTGATACAATACTTTTATACTGAAGCATTTTGACTGTGACCGGTCACATAAGGTTAGGTGTGAAATTTTCCACTCATGATGTCAGGTGGGCACTCAAAATGTTACTGATTTGGGAGCTTTTCAAATTCAGACTTCTGGATTGATATGCTCAACATGCATTGGCTGTTTTGCACAGCCCATGTGAGACAGTTTCATGGTTATTCATGGGACACACTGGGATAATCCCTTCTAGACGGACAGAGGTACCCCTCAAAATGTCTCTACATTTGTGAATGAATACAGGTGGGCATTACTATATCCATTGATTTTATCTCTTCTAAATTAATTAGCAAGACCTAGAACTAGACCTTCCTCTTCTCTTCTACTTTTTAAGGCTCTACTGTTAATCACAAACATATGGAAGGCCTGGACAATAATTTTTATGTTAATGCACCAGTCTTTCCAGCTGAAGAAGAAGCCTATCTGGTACTCCTAGATCATCCCAACATCCATTACCCAGCTACATGCCATGCAAGTGACTAGCTGGGACATATACCTGAATGCTAGTCATAGAATAAGGAGGGCTATAAAGGCCTACCCCACTGACCAGCTACGGTGGTCCACAGGAGTGACTTCACAGGCACCATCAAACTGGACCATGAGGAATGGTAAGGAACCATTGGAGCCATCTTTTTTTCCCACTATATCACATGTGCTCACCAGAAAGGAACAGAGAGAAATAGTGAGAAAGCACCGCCCATGGGGGATGGTCACATTGTAATCCCTTCTCCACTTCTCCCTTTGGGATTTTGGGCATACACATACATGCTCTCAGCATGCTTTTCAAGCCACCAGAGTTCCAGAACTGAAACCACTCAGCTGGCCAGGTGGGATCCTGCTGCCTTAACCTCCATGCCACTGGCCAACCCAGGAACTATCTTAATAGCACTTAAAACTTTTTATGCTAGGCACAAATGATCCTAGGCATTTCATGCCAAAGTATAAGTATAAGCACTTAATCCTATTAAATCAATCAGTGTGATTCATAGTGTTTAAAATAATAAGATAAAATGGGGTGCTACATATGTAAAGCCCAGGTTCCCTCAAGCCTACTACCCTCAGTAACTCCCTAGCCCTTTCCTTCCAAGATCTCTCTTGCAGGCGTATATGTGCAGGCAGTGGCCACAAGAAGTTAAATATGATGTTTACCATAGAGATGGGCACCTACGAGTGAGAGCAGAGGCACCTGGAAGTTACATACTACTGCTCTACCTTATAAAGACTTCTTTCTCCCATTTCCGCCTCCCTCCGCCTTTTGTCTCTGTTATTTCTCCCCAAAGCAAGCAATGGTAAGATAAAGCCTGTTGCAGTCTGAACCTGTGTGTGTGTGACAAAGATGACTTCTGAATTCCAGGAGGAAATATCACTACCTACTCAACACTCAGCACATCCAGATAGTCTCAGGTGAAGACCTACAGCCATTCATAGCTTATTGTTATTGTCTGCCCACCCCTCAAACAGTTCAGAACTTGAACTGGCATTTTGAGATAAAGGTTTACATCTTGAGGTTGCACATGTTTTAAGGATGGATTAGTTCAGGTTTGCAAATAAGTAATCTCAGTTATCAGCCTTCAAGAACCTTCCAGTGTCCTCTCCCCATATAAACTACCCAAACAGTAAAGTATGCATTTCACTAGTTGCCCAGGATAATTCTTCACTAGGTCTGGAAAAGTGGACACGGGTCTATCTGAATGGCTGATGTGCTGCCACCACCAGGTCCCAATGAGCCTAGAAGTAATTTGGTCTGGGTCTAAGTGCTAATAGCATGCTGCCAAGTCTCTTTCTGAAAAGCACAAGAGCAAAATATCCCATTCCTGCAAGCAAACCAACCACAAGGGTGGTGCCAAGAACTTTTGGGGCCCTTTTCTTGGCCACACGGAATGCTGTTGGCAACACCGCAGAGATTAGTATATTGTTGACATGTCCTAAAACCTTGTTAAATGTTTTTCTCTTCAAGACACGCTCATAATAGGTTTCCAAGTTTGGTCGCTTTCCATTTCCCCAGTTTCTCCTCGCAAACCCTAGGAACTTCAGCCGATGCAATGTGACAGCAAGCGAGACGTCTGCCAGGGTGAAGGATTCTCCGCAGAGCCAAGGCTGGCGACCCTCTTCTAGTCAAAGAAAAGAACATGGACAATTAGGGGCAAGCACTGTACAGACAGACTCTAGCTGGCATTTCTGACCTTGGCCTTAAGAGCAAGTATGGGTACACCAAGGCCATGACACATACACTTTCTTTCTTTTTTTTTTTTTTTTTTTTTTTTTGCATATAGCTCATGTACTCACCAGAGAGGAGAGTCAGAGAAATGCAGAGAGAGGGAAATATGCCCCAGGAAGATGGCTATCCCGCAATCCCATCTTCTCCACACTCCTTCAAGATCATGAGCACACACCTATACCGAGCATGGTCTTTAAGCCACAGGGTCCAGGAATCAAATCACAGTGGGCCATGTGGGAATCCAGCTGCCTTAACCACCATGCCACCTGCTGGCCCATGGAATATTTTCTTGACCACCCATTCAGCAAGTAATTTTACGCTGAAAGATGTATATGTTAATTAGAAATTACAATTAAAATTTTTATTAAAAATAATTAAATATGGTGCCAGCAACCTGACCATGGTTTGAATCCTGAACCCAGCAGCTTAACACTCACTCCAGGCATGTGTGCATGTATGCCCAAAATCCTGAGGAGAATGGAGAAGTAACTGCATCATGGCCATCCTCCCTGGGGGATGATTTCTTGCTTTCTGTCCCTCTGTCCCTCTCTGTCTCTCTGGTGAGCACATGCACCCTATAGTAAATAACTCTCTAAATAAATAAGAAGAAGGAAGATTATATTGTCTAGGACAGAGAGAGGGTTTTTTTGCCAGTAGGAATTTATTAAAAAATAAATAGCTGGGGGCAGAAAGTTTCTTGCAAATGCATTCCAAGCTAAAGGAGACTTGCCTGACATCTATCAGCCACCCAGGTGTGAAACTGGAGCCACATGAGCTCAAAGCCTTTCTACCATCTTGCATAGAACTCTGAGGGACTGAGAGTCTCCAAGTCAGAGAAGTAAACAATACTTCCTTTTGGCTTGGGAAAACAACAGGTGTGCTTTGGAAAAAATCCACAGATGGGCCTGAAACATCATTCAGTGGCTGCTGCTCTTAGTTTAGTTACTTATTTAAAGCAGAAGAGGGTCCCTATTCTGAAGCAAGTTTCAGGTAACACAGTCTTCAACTCTGCTGTCAGAGTAATGCAAATGGTCCAGGCGTAAACACCTGGGCAATGGCTTCCTCCTGAAGTTGGTTCACACGGAAAGCTTCCAGCCAGCCTGCAGACATACACCTGCCACCTACACACCAGCTCCCATTTCAAACTTAACTTTAGGTCAGACTTTTCTCCCTGCCTAAGGATAGCACTAGAGGGAGCATTCAAGCAATTACTCAGGTTATTCAACCAAACTAACTACTGTAATTACAAATCTGTAAAACAAGTATGATAAGAATCATCCAACTATAATTTAAATTGTGCAGAAAAATTCTTCATCAGTCATGTTTCAGATAAACACAAACTGAGTCACAACTAGACATCTGGGTTTTTCTGAGTTCAGTATCATTGTTGCTGACATAATTAAAATTGCCTGTAAATAACAACAACAATGAAAAACAGATCACAGAACATTTCTGTTGAAATCTAAAAATGTTCCCAGAAATATTTCTGATATTGAAAAGAGGGAAACAATACAAATGAGCACCTACCTGGGGTTTCTTCATTCCTTCTTTGTAACTCAGTTTCAACCTGATCCAAGACCTTTTCCAGCTCATCCAGAATTTTCTTCAAATATTTGACATTGTCATGATCAAGCAGCTTTGACTAATTATCAACAAAAAAAAAAAAAGGAAAGAAAGAAAGAAAGAAAGAAAGAAAGAAAGAAAGAAAGAAACTTAAGCAGATATAAATTCTTTTACAGTTGGAGTCTGCTTACGTAATGGGCAAAAAAAATATGTTTATCAAAGCAAGAGCAATGCTGGGAACCAGAAGTTAGCGTAATGGTTATGTCGCTGGACTCCCACGTAGTCGACTGCGGTTCACATCCCAGACCCGGTGGCTTAAAACTCATGCCGGTCACGTGTGCATGCGTGCCCAAGATCCCGGGAGGAGAATGGAGAAGGGATTGCGGGGTGACCATCCCCCCTGGGGAGTGATTTCTCGCTTTCTGTCTCTGTCTCTCTGTCTGTCTGGCAAGCGCACGCGCCCTAGAGTGAAAAAACCTCTCCAAAAAAAAAAAAAAAGACATAATAGAAATACAAAACATTATTAGAGAATACTATGAGTGACTTTATGCCCACAAAGAAGAAAACCTGGATGAGATGGATAAATTCCTGGACAAATATAATCTACCACGATTGACTCGGGAGGACATAGAAAGCATGAATAGACATTTAACAAGCAATAAAATTTCATCAGTAATAAATAACCTCCCAACAGAAAAGAAAAAAAAAAAAAAAAAAAGTCCAGGTCCTGATTGCTTCACTCTGAATTTTACAAAGCATTTAAAGAGATAACCCCCATTCTACTCACACTGTTTCTAGAGCTCCGAAAGGAAGGAACCCTTCCAAATTCAGAAGGAACCCTCCAAATTCATTCTATGAAGCCTCCATTACCCTCATTCCCAAAATGGATAAAGATATGAAAAAAAGGAAAACTACAGACCTATATCTCTGATTAATATAGATGCAATAATTCTCAACAAAATACTTTACTGTATTCAACAGAATATGAAAAAGGTTATTTATCATGTTCAGGTAGGCTTTATTCCAGGGATGCAAGAGTGGTTCAACATACGCAAAACCATAAATGTAATACACCACATTAACAGAAAGAAAGATAAAAATCATATTATCATTTCAATTAATGTGGAAAAAGCATTTGACAAAATACAACATTCCTTTATGATTAGGACTCTCAGGAAAATTGGCATAGATGGGTCGTTTCTCAGCATAATAAAAACCATCTATGAAAAACCTATAGCCAACATTATACCTATAGCTAACCATTAAGAAAAGGCTGCCCACTTTCTCTACTCCTATTCAGTATATTACTGGAAGTCCTAGCCAATGAGATCAGACAAGAGAAGGAAATAAAAGGCATAAGAAGAGCTGAAATGATCTCTGTTTGCAGATTACATGATTGTTTACATAGAAGACCCAATAGTATCCATGAAAAAACTTTTCGAAGTATTGAATACATACAGTAAAGTGGCAGGATACAAAATTAACCTTCAAAAATCTATAGCATTTCTATATACAAACAACAAGCAGAGACAGAACTGAAGAAAGTAATCCCATTTACCATAGCCACAAGAACTATAAGACACCTAGGAATAAAACTAACCAAGGAAGTCAAAGATTACATAAAGAAAACTATGAAAATCTTTAAAAAGAAAATTAAAAAGGACATAAAAAAGTGGAAGGACATCTCATGTTCCTGGATTGGCAGAATTAATATAATCAAAGTGGCAATCCTACCCAAATTAATCTACATATTTAATCCAATCCCTATTACAAGAGACATTCTTCACAGATCTAGAAAAGACAATTATAGGATTTGTCTGGAATCATAAGAGACTTCGTATTGCCAAAGCCATCCTGTGCAAGAAGAATGGAGTAGGTGGCATTTCAGTTCCTAACCCCCAAATATATTACAAAGCTGGGATAATCAAAACAGCATGGTATTGGCACAAAAACAGACATGAAGACCAATAGAACAGAGTAGAGACCCTAGAAACAACCCCCAAAATATATAGCCAAGTCATCTTTGACAAAGGGTACCAGTCAATCCAGTGGTAAAAGGAAAACCTCTTAGCAAATGGTGTTGGAAAAACTGGGTATCCACCTGAAGAAAGATGAATCTGAACCCCTATTTGTCACAATTTACAAAAATCAACTCGAAGTGGATCAAAGATCTAAACCTAAGATCGCAAACTATAAAACTACAGGAGGAAAACACTTGGGAAACTCTGGGAGACACTGGTGTACGCAAAGACTTTTTAAGCAAGACTCCCAAAGCACAGGCAGTAAGCCCCAAAATAGGTAGGTGGAATTGCATCAGAGTAAGAAGTTTCTGTACAGCAAAGGACACTGTAATTAGTGTGAATCAACAACTCTTGGAATGGGAGAGAATTTTTGTTAACTGCCTCAGATAAGGGACTGATAACCAGAATACACAGAGAACTCAAACAGCTTACCCAGAAGAAAATGATTAATCCAATTAAAAGATGGGGAAATAAGCTGAGCAAACAACTCTCTAAGGAAGACACACAAACAGGAAAAAAAAAAAAAAAGCATATGAAAAAAATGCTCAGCATCCCTCTTCACAAGAGAAAAGCTGATCAAAACCACAATGAGATACCACCTAATCCCAGTCAGAATGGCAAAATAAAATAAAAAAAAAAAAATTAAGTGCTGGAGGAGACGTGGTGAAAGGGGAACATTCCTACCTTGTTGGTGGGAATGAAGGAGTGTTCCAGCCACTATGGAGAACAATATGGAGGTTCCTCAAAGACCTTCAAATAAAACTACCATATGATCCAGCAATTCCACTCCTGGGTATATACCCAAAGGACAGGAAAATGCTCAGTCAGAAAAGAACTTGCACAACTATATTTATTGCAGCATTATTCACGATTGCTAAGACATGAAACTAAATGAAATGTCCACAAACAGATGAATGGATTGAAAAAGTGTGGCACATATACTCCATAGAATACTATTCAGCCATAAAAAACAACAAGGCCAGGGGCCGGCAAGTGGCATGGTGGTTAAAGGCGCTGGATTCCCACATGGCCGACCATGGTTCAAGTCTCGGATCTGGTGGCTTGCTTGCTCTCTCTCTGTCTCTCTCTCTCTCTGTCTCTCTCTGATCAAACTAAAAAATAATAATGATAATAATAATAAATAAAGTTAAATAAAATAATTCTTTAAAAAAAAAGGCCCTGAAATTTGATAGAAAGTGGACAAATATGGAAGATTCGATGCTGAGTGAAGTAAGTCAGGCTATGAAAGAGAGACATTGTATGTTTCCAATTAATATATACCAACTGTCTGCACTCTATGGTAGAGACTGAAAGTCTAGAGGACATAAAAGCATTAAAAATTGTTATGGACACTAGAGACAAAGTGGAAGGAGAGTGTGGGAGGGGAAGAGCATAGGAAATGAAATTTGAGGAAAAAAATAGAGAGGTAAGACATTTGTAGGACACAGATATGGTTTATTATCTGTTGATGTGTATAATATTCTCAACTGGGCTGGACTGAGGTGTATATCATGCTGGGTAAAGTCTCTATAATCTAAATGATGTATAGTGATTTAATGTATAAAATAATAAAGGAAAAAAAGAATATTTAATAACTTGTTTTGACATTTTTATAACTTTGCTCAGCAACTAGCATGCTTAATATCTTTTTTTTTCTTGGGAGTGGGGAGGGAAGGGGAAGTTTTTGCTATAGGGCGCATGCGCTCACCAGAAAGAGAGAGAGAGAGAGAGACAGAAAGTGAGAAATCAGCCCCCGGGGGGGATGACCACACCGCAACGCCTTCTCTCCCATTGTAATGAAACATTACACCATCTGCTGGTCCCAATATTTTTTTATGCAATTTGATTATCAAATTAATGAAGAAAATTATTTGTAAAAGCAGAACATAAGCCAATACAATACCTGTACTGGCGTATTATGAAATATAATAGAAAATATTCTAAAAGTAGCAGTACTTTACAAAAAGGAGAACATTTAATACAAACCGTGGATGCTGGATACAGTCAGCCTGGTTCACTCACCTTAAGTCGCTTCTGTTTTGCAATGTATGCTTCTTGTAAATCTGGGTTTTCTTCAGCAAGTTTCTTCAGTTCAGACTCTGTGTTACCGATTTGGCCTGAGAGTGAAAATATTTTTGAGATAGGAAATTATTTTCTCTCCTCTATACCTGAGACTAGAAGCAGAGAAATGCAATAGGAAGGGCCCAAGCTGTGCGCCTCATGCCTGGCCTCTGCCTCAGACCGACCCTGTATATGGCTTGGTTTCTTCATCTTTTTTTTTTTTTTTTTTTTGAGAGATTTTCGCTATAGGGCGCGTGCGCTCACCAGACAGACAGAGAGACATAGAGACAGAAAGTGAGAAATCACCCCCCAGGGGGGATGGTCATACTGCAATCCCTTCTCCTCCATTCTCCTCTCGGGATCTTGGGTATGCACACACATGCGCCCGGCGTGAGTTTTAAGCCACCGGGTCCGAGATGCGAACCGCGGTCGACTACATAGGAGTCCAGCGACGTAGTCATTACGTTAACTGCTGGTTCCCGGTTTCTTCATCTTTGAAGGGAAACTAGGAGAGTACCTGCCACTCACAGGGAGGACAGAAGCTCCATGGGAAGTTCTCAGAGAAGGCCTAGCACAACACAGTGCTCCATGCCGGCTAATTGTTCTACCTTTCTGTACCTTTCAAGTATTTTATAAAGAACTTCTATATGAAAGAAAGAAAAAAAACTTATATTTTTACACTTCCCCTTTTTTTGAGGCCCTATTTTCACATTCTGTATTTGTACTGATAATCAAGATCAAGAGAGCTTTTGCCCTTCAGTTCCATGGGAGGTTTCTGCTTTCCTTGAGCTTACTATGGAAAAGAGGCTTATTAAAAAAAAAAATAGTAATAATAACTGCATGCGATAGATTTGTGATTGGAATACTTGTTCCAACATATAATGAGTACTTATGCAGAGAAGGAGTAAAAACAAGAGATGTGGCCGGCAGGTGGCATGGTGGTTAAGGAACTGGACTCTCAGTTCGAGTCCTGGACCTGCGCGCTCTCTCTCTCTCTCTCTCTCTCTCTGTCTCTGTCTCTGGTCAAATTTTAAAAATAATAATAATAGGGACCAGCAGTTAGTGTAATGGCTATGGTACTGGACTCCCATGTAGTCAACCGTGGTTCAAGTCCCGGATTCGGTGGCTTAAACTCATGCCGGGCGTGTGTGCGTGTGTGCCCAAGATCCCGAGAGGAGAATGGAGGAGAAGGGATTGCGATGTGGCCATCCCCCCAGGGGGTGATTTCTTGCTTTATGTCTCTCTGTCTCTCTGTCTTTCTGGCGAGCACATGCGCCCTATAACGGAAACCTCTCACACAAATAATAATCATAATAAATAAAATTGAAAATTCTAAAAAAGCAAGAGGATGGGGATAAGCAAAAAGAGAAGATAGGAAGAAAAGAATGGAAGAAAAGAGAGAAGGGAGTGGAGAAGAGGAAAGAAGGGAAGGAAATAGAAAAAGAAGAGGTGGATATCAAAAAGAAAGAAAATTGACTTGAACAAGAGAATAATAAAGGCGAGGTATGATGTGATGGACAAAACACAGATTCTGGATTTAGAAGACCTGCATCTGAGAGTTTCTAGTCACATACACCAGAGTCCAGTCCTGCCACCTTCCCTACTTCCTGCCCCAAATGCCGAGCTGTTCAGCACAGCTCCTTAAGCTCACATCTCACGTACTGACCTCACTCTACCCTCAGAGCAGGAGGGAGGGAAAAGCTGGCTGTCACAGTCTGATCTCAATAAACCTCAATCACTGGCTGTAGAAGTACTAGACGCCCTCTAGTCTGGCTCCCTCACACACGGTTACCCATAATCGCAGGCAGACCCCAGCTTTTCTGACTCCCAGTTCATCTTGCATAAGAACATGTTATATTCCTTAAATTTCCATAGACCACTCTTCTTAGTTTTATCCAAACTTGGCTCTCAAAGCCAAGAGCTGACAAGTAGGGTTCTACGGACAATAAATATCCAGCCGAACAGCTGAAGCACAGATTAATCTGGTCAGTTCATGGATCAATCCATAATGCACATCCAAGAAGCAAACTCAACCTCCCTATTCTCATTTCTCAGTCTTTTCTCCATGACGATGAGATATGCTAGGATCTCAAAAATGAATGTTAAAACTTCAGGTGAAATTCCAGGTCTGCAAGAGTTTTACATACTGCGAATCCTTGTGGTTGCGTAGGCAGGGATCATGGAGTCCACTGTCAGCTCAGGATGTAAGATGCAGCCATGCGTGTAGGCATCCATGGGCAAGGAGTCAAGCAGCTCTCGGTAGTGCTGCACTCGTGGGTAATACATGCTTCCCTTGTCAGGCATTAACCTGGGTGTTCTTTCTATAATGCACACAGACACATATGCAAATATTGAAGAAAATGTTACAAATGAGATATTATATCCAAAGCAAAAATATAAGCCCTAACCCCCTCATCATTATCATTTTTGACATCACATCAGTACATTTAAAGAACAGTATTTTCCCAGCCCAGATATTCAAAATTTGAAATGGCCTGATGTACCAGACTGGATCCTAAACTCTGATTATATACTGGCATTCTCTCACTCCTCCAGCTTGCAAACTGCTATTTAACCCTCAAGATGCTGCTGTTTAGACCACTTGATCCAAGAAGTGCCTCTGATCTCCTACAACTGCCCACATCTGACTGGCTCAGGCACGTCTTCTTCCATACACTCACAATGCATTGCACATCCTGTTTCAGCCCTCACTACTCTACAATCAAGTGTATCTTTTTGTCCCAAGAACATTTTCAGGGCAAGAAGTAGGAGAGTTTTTCATACATTTTAGGTCCTCAGTAAAGGTTGATTAAGTTACTTCATTAAGTCATTATGAGAAGATAGTCATAGAACACTGTTTTCTAGGTGCCAACCAACACCAAGAGTAACGGAAGACACTATGTGAATGTGGAATGACGATCTGTATGGAATAGAAGAGGCCTTGCTCTAATATTACAGCTGCAGTTTCTGCAGCAATTTCTCACGACTGACCTCTGAGAAGGGGGTTCTATATAAATCTTCATTTGCTGGTTAAAATCCAGTCAGTAGACTTCTTGAGGTCAGAGACTACTTACTGTTCTCTATTAAATCCTCTTTGCTTAATATAATATTTGACAGATAACCAATAAATTATAATTACTGAATACAGTTCCAGTTATTATAGACTACCTGAGCTGCAGAAGCTCTGCAGTAGCTAAAGAGGATACCCACAGCTGAGGCAGAGCACGACCTCAAGTTACCTAATTCCTAAGGTAATGCACTGTTTTGCCATCATCAAAAGGTTTACATTTCAGAGACAATCCATTTTTTTTAATATAATTTTGTGTTAGTGCACAGAGAGCTGTGAATAGGGTTGTGAGTGTAGGAAAGTGACGATGCAACCCAAAGATCAGGGCTCTGTCCCTGATCCTTTTCCACCTCTGATTCTCAAACATCCCAGAAAAATGCCAACTAGCTTGTTCCAACTAGTAAAAAAGAATAGTCTCAATCTTCTTTCTTCTTGTATTTCTATTCTTTTAAAATTATTTTATTTACCTTTATTTATTTATTTATTTTAATTTGACCAGAAAGGAACAGAGCAAAAAAGAGAGAGAGAGAGAGAGGGAAAATGAGAAAGCAAGCCAGCAGGTCCAGGACTCAAACTGCAGTCAGTGGGAGCCCAGTGCCCTTAACAACCATGACACCTGCCAGCCCTTCATATATTTCTGAACCTGGATTATTTAATTTAGAATTGTCTGAGCCTCCCACACTCATTTATAAACATTGACAGTTTAGACTGGTTGCCATCAACAGAGCATTTCAGGCAAGATTTCATAATGCCATGCCAAGCAGAACAGGCTTTTCAAGCCAGCAGGCTATTTCTGACTCTCTAAGAAAAAGAAAAATGGATGACTTCTCCAGCTAGTGAGCTAATTCCATCTTGGAGAGTCCAACTCTGAAGGCTGCATTAGAATAACAAAAATGAGCCACGAGCTACATACTGCTCCCCAGCAAGGGAATTCCCTTCCCTAAGCACACTTCACTGCTGACTGTGTGGGAAGAAGGCTGGGAAGTCACCTATGTGGCGGCAAGCCTCTACACACCAGAAATCTAACAGTGAGCAGAGCACCTCGGGCTGTCTTTTCAGGACCTTCAGTATCTCCAGGACCCTCGTGGCAATGCATGATAGAAGTTACCATGAGGACAACAGACGGGGAGCCTTGAAATTCTAGAGCATCCTTAACCTTTTGTGTGCCACTGACATAAAATAACAATGTTCTTAAATGCATGAAATACAAGATGGGATTGCAAAGAAATCAATTCTGTTACAATACAGTTATCAAAACGATTTTGAATTATAAAACACTGACATGCATGCCTCTTTATCACCACATTATCAAGATCTAGCCACAGGTCTAATAACTACCCTAATTTGAAAGTACTAAGACATCTCTGGTAACTTGATATACTATAAACAGAGCTATCTGTGACTTCTATTCGCAACAGTCACAGTGACTCCTGATACTACTATGGATTAGTACTACATTGGTAATAAAGAAATCATACATGTCTATTAGAAATAAGTGGAAATAAACGATGTTCTTCTAAGTTCGCAAATCCGAATTCTACCTGCAGAATCCTGAGGGCAACCAATGACAGATTATGAGCTAAGGGTCTCAACACTTTCCCAGCACTTCAGGAGATTCACAGAGTCAATGCTATTTTTATAGCAATACTGATAAGAGTTGCTTCTTCACACACATTGTCTCTCGAGTGTATGACAGAGGTTTCCAGAGGTTACCACGAAATGTGATGACTCCATCACTCTGAGCTGACAGGGTGTGTGCTTGAGTATGCTAGTTTTATATTTTTCTTAATTTAATTTTTTAAATCTTCATTCATTTATTTATATGAATTTGAGCAGAGACAGAGTGTGTGAGAGAGAGAGCCAGAAAGTGAGAAAGAAAGCCAGCAGGTCTGGGACTCGAACCATGGTCAGCCATGAGGGAGTCTGACACCCTTAACCACACGCCACCTGCCACAACCACCTTAATTTAAATTTCTAAAAGGTAAATATTGATAAATATGACCCACATAAACAAAAGTTCTGATGTGTTTAATTGAGTCAATGTATTCTGTATGGACAAATTTCATTTTGTATGCTGTAATGATGTACAGTAAATGAATGTAAATAAATAAATTTAAATAAGAAAACTCTCAAGGACCCTTTTTTTAAGATATACAGGTCCTAGGACCAAAAAGCTTAAGAGCCACTTTTTTAGGGGAAATCCAAGAACCTCTGGTTAATAACCATAACTGGTACATTTTCAAATGCTTCCTAATTCATCAGATTTATGACTACTGGCTTTGGCTGCTTTCTGCTGTCAGGCCCTGGGGCTTTTCTCCAGAAGAGCATACCACTTCCTTCCTGGGAAAGTGAATGAGAGCAGGAAAAACAAGGTCTAATTTTTTTCTGGGAAGCTTCATCTGGCCAAGCCTTAATTCTTCAGAAGACAAATTGAATCTATTAATATTTCCTGAAGTGCTCTGTCAGAGCATAAGATACCCACTGAACCCAAGTTGTCTTCTCAGCTCTCTCTTGTCTTTTTTAATTCCTGGGCAATCCCTTCTCCTCCATCTCTCTTATCTTTTTGAATTTAGGGCATGCATATACACACACCCTAGATGTTTTTCAAGCTGGACCTGGGACTAAAATTGCACAGTGGACCATGTTGTGTCCAGCTGCCTTACCCACCAGACCACCTGGCACACACACTCCCCACCCTTTTACTTTTTGTCTTTGCAAACATCAAGGATACTCTGTCTGGATCACACAGACACCACGCTGCTGTCCACCTCCTCACACCCTAGACCACTGCCTCTAGAAGCAGAGTTTTCAAGACAAATGGAACTCTCTTTTGAATTACACACCAGACCTTTCCTCTCTGTCTTAGCCTATTTTACTTTCCCATCCTTCCATTGAGCATCTTTGTTAAAATCTAAAAAAGACAGTTTTCTTGGTATTCTACTTCACTCAGCAGGGGAAAGGCAAAATAAGGCACACAGGGACAGGACAGAGACACAGGGGAGTTGGAGGATGAGCCAATGAGATGAGGCCCCAGCACTGGGGAGTAGGGTTGCCATAGTGGAAGCCAGGCAAGGCAACTAACCTCGAAGAATAAATAAGTCAGCGCAAGGCCTGAAGAAAGGTTCCTAGAAGAAATGAGCATGGGAAAGGGTAGGAGTTGTATTACATATAAATTTAGGTGGCAAATTAGAACCAGGCAGACAGACATAAAGGAGAAAGAGGTGACAAACAAGAGCAGGGAAAAAAAAAGCAAGAAAATTCAGACATTCAGAAAGGAACAATAAAAGCATTCTTCAGTCACTTAATGGGGACAAATGGTTCTGTGCATTGCTGAGGAGAATAACAATGACAACAGCTCTGAGCTAGTTAAAATAAAAACAAAGCCAAAAAATTACATTCAGTTTCCCAGAATGCAAAGATGAAAAGAAATGAGAGGGTTGAAGCATAAGTTTCCATTATTTCAATTAATTTGCTGCTCTGATTTCCTGCGTTCCCTAGTGATGGCAGATAAAGTAGGTAGACTCCTTCTAGATCTATTTAAATAACTTTCAGGTCTTCCTTATTTAAGCTCAGTGAAAACAAATTGGACCTCCTCTCTAACTCTAGCCCTTCTCTGGTTTTTTAAATTTTATTTATTACAAACTGCACAGTGATGGCATTAGTATATGAGGTATTATTTGCTAATATCTAATAATGAAAACAATATTGAATACTTCAACCCATCTTACTCCAGGCTATTGAAAAATATAATAACAATGGTAAACAACGAAGCTATGAAGCAAGAAACATAGTTACAAATTGACTACCATTGAAGGGTGTTTTAACTTTGGTCTTAGAATGATCAACTCTAAATGAAGATGAGAACAGATCCATGTCAGCAAGGATTTTCTGTAGCATTATTTTGAATAAATTTTACATATTAAATATTTAACCAGTTTTAATCGGTATTATATTTAAGACTTTTAATACAAACACACGTAACGTTGGAGGTGGAAAGTTCCTTATCAGAAAATTTGTTCTAATTGTTGGATACACATAATACAGAATAAGCCCTTTGCTAAAATTAACAAATCATAGAATAGACAAAAAAAGTTACTTGTAAAGGAACTTTTAGTGACACAATCATTCATCTGAAAGACTTGTTTCCTTCTCCTTATCATATACCATGCTTTTTCCACACTCTGTGCTAATCTGCAATTTCAGCAGATGTGCTAGAAAATTACTTAACTAGGTCTGGCAAGTGGTGTGCTGGCT